TGTGTAGGGTTTATGACAAAACCAGATGATACTAATTATAGTATTGGCTACTAAACAACATGCACACAAACAACACTTAAGTAATAATTTGACTGGCGTTATTTCACACAAAATCCCATCTGTATAATCCAAGCCGATGTACCTTTTTCCGCTCTGGTTGTGAGATGGGCGGAGCGGTGAGCTCCACCTGCTGTTGATGGGACGGGCATGCCCGGTTCTCCCAGAACCGTGAGCTGCAGCTGCGCGTGCCGCCATAATGACATGCTTTATTTAGAAATGCAGCCGTGTCGCCAGCCGGTGTTGACGGAGCTTCAGTCCAGAATGTTTCTCTTTTGTTTTCACTCATCAGCCACAGATTGCTCGCTCACTGGTCTTTCTACCGTGGTGACTCCCTAACATATTCCCTCTCCTACATGCGTTGGTGACATGGATTCCTAATGTTTTAATTCACCGCTTCACCAGTGTGTTTTTCCTGTTTGTGAGACGAACCCCTCCTCCATAACCAGGTTACTGGTACGGAAGCCTGGAAAGGCCAAAATTCCTCAAATGTTATTTTTTTCCTACTGGCTGATATGGATTAATAGAATATAATAGAGTAGATGTTATTAGTCCCACAGGGGGGACATCCACTCATTACAGCAGCACACACACTTGGAGACACAGATTACAGTAAGATTGATTCCAGCCATGTTTGCTTTGATAACTTCAATAACTTCATGCTGATGACCCACATGAACATAATCCTCTGTTTAGTGGATGCAATTACATCATGAAGTAAGCTTAACATGATAGATTGTTTTTCTTGGCAGGAAATAATAACTGGTAATATTATGAATATCATCCCCCCCGATGGAGTTTTAAACATTTACATTCATTATAATTAAAAGTTCCTGTAACTCTTTACTGCTGATGGATAGATGATAGATAGATGGATAGATAGATAGATAGATGGATAGATAGATAGATAGATAGATAATGTGGGAGAGTTGGATGTTAAATATTCCTCACAAAACGAAAATTTATATTAAACAAAGGTCAGTTCCCTCTGTAAAATCAGAGGTACGGAAGAGGATTAGGGCCACTGAAAAGAGAAAAAAAAGAAGAAAAGAAAGAGAATTCGGACCTTTTTCCCAGAATTCCCTGTCAGAATTCCGAGGTTAAAAGTCAGAATCCTGAGAAAGTAAGAATTCTATTTTGTTTCTTTTTTTCCTCGTCAGTGGCTCTAATCCTCTTCTGTACAGAGTAGAAATAAATGAATAAAGTCAATAATAATACTACCCCCCCCCCCCCCCCCCCCCCCCCCAGCGGTGAGGTAAATTCCAGTATGTGCCCCACCTATAGATATTTAGATGCCTAATAAATGGCATTTGTCACAATTGTGTTTAAGTTATGATCCCTTTGTGTTTTAATTATAGATCTTTTGCTACAGATTACTAACCAGGTGACTGTGAACTGTAAGATGTTTTCAGAAAAAGCATTTACCAAAGGAGACCAAGAACTTGGTGCAATAAGGGGCAGCAGTAGCTCAACAGGTTGAGCGGGTTGTCCAGTAATCAGAAGGTTGCAGGTTCGATCCCATGTTCTGGATAGAGAATTCTGCTGAGAATGCCCGGCAGCCTCACCTCTGTCAGTGCGCCCCAGGGCAGCTGTGGTTCATCGTAGCTCATCACCATAAGTGTGTAAATGTGTGTGTGTGTGTGAATGGATGAATGATAAACTGTAGTGTAAAGCTCTTTGGAGTCCTTACTCTGAGAGACGCTATACAAGTGCGGGTCGTTTATCATTTATAAACTCAGGAGTTTCATGGCAAAAATTGACCCCACGCATTTTTGAAATGTGTATTGATTTCACTTTTGTGGAACAGTTTTTTAATCCTTGCATGTTCACAAGGCTGATTTCCACCTTTACCCTTGAGTAATTGCAGATGCAAACCTATTTAATAATTTGTATACAAGAACATTTTGCACTACAACTGAACAGACAATGGCAACAGTGAAGTTTTACCACATGAAACTGAGACCCATGTGCGTCAAACAAAAAATTAATCATTAAATGTGCTGGTCTTGTTTCCTGGATATCAAACAACACATCCTGCTGGATTTAGAGCGACAAACCTCGCAGACCTACTGGCGGTCTGGTTGTAACTACTGATGGTGCAAAACGTCTGACTGGAAGAGGGCCTTATTGTTTATGCACACATGTTGATGTACTTATTTTGGCCAGTGTTTCCTCTCAGTTGGGTACTATGGTGATGGCTAAAGAAGTCAGTGGTAGCCTATGTCTTGACCTTCCTTAGACCATTTTTACAACCTCAAGCACATTATCTGAAAGAGGGGTGGCTGTGTTCCCGCAGTCTTAACGATCTTCAATTCAGACTTTCACAAAAGGGGGTCTAAAGAACTTTTAGTTATGGCTAACTACAAAAAAAAACTGTCTTTTAGGAATAACAAAGTCCTGAGAGCATCTAGGTTGCTCTTCTTTGCCAGAAGTGAATCTTCTTTTTTTTAAAGCTGTAACCACTGATCAAAGTCTTGACACCAGACGCACTCTGCACAAGTATGCAGCAACCAGAGCCAATTGGTGATGGACAGCAAACACCCACACACAGATCTTTAGTGAGGCCCAAATGGGTTCCTATTCATCTGTCTGTACAAATCACAGCCTGGGCAAAGGGCCGTATTATCTTAGCTGTCCTTTCTTGTGCCCTCCTGAGTCACTGACTATTGTGCGCCAATAACCGATGTCTGCAGCCCAGCATGCACAATCCTGAGTGAAAGATATAATCAGATTTTAACCAAAGGAAAAAGTCAGATTTGAATAAAACAAATTCTCGTTACTAGTTTATGCAAACTGGAAATGCATCGTGGGTTTCCCAGGAATGTCTCACTAATCTGATGGGTGGGTTCCGTAGTATGCATTACTTGACATCAATGAAGGCTTTTGTAGGATTGTAAATGTAACTGATGAGTCAAACCTTTAATTATGCCTCTCCCAATTTTCATTGTGGAGTTGTGTGGCTTAGTTGGAGATTTGAGTTGGCTTTGTGCCATAATGTGAGTTACTCATCAGATGTGTTTAAAACAAAAAGGAGAAAGTGTTGAGTTTTCTCAGTGCAGTGAAAATGGATCTGATCCGTAAAGGCCCCACACAAAGTGGTGCTCTATGGTTTTCTGTCCACTGAGCTCTGGTTTCCTCATCATGAGACGACTGTTCATTAGGTAAGCAATGCTCCGGGATTGAATTCACACTCGGTCTGCCCTCTCCCATGACCCCGCTTACCAGTCAGCAAACACCAGTGCAGGTTAGCATAAACAGACGTGAGCATAAGGTGCTGTTTCAGCCCTCATGGAACTTCCCTGAAGCACTCCCAACAGCGCCCTGTTGCAACCTTTACGCTAGATCATCATTCTCCTCCGCATGCATTCTAATGAATGCATGTATACACACCACCCCAGCTACGCTACCCCACCCAAATCTTGTCCGTCTTAAACAGTCGTGCAATCTGCATAACTGATCGTGGAAACCGTTTCGTTAATCAGATCTTGTCAGCAGCGCAGGCGTTTTTTCAGTTTTTTGGGTGTTTGTGGAGGCCCCGTTGTGCTCCATTGCCTCTCTGGGATAAATGGAGATAATGGGAGTCATATGGTAGCAGTTGGTTTGGGGCAGGCCTACATGAAACGTTTATATTCTTTATGAAGTCTTGAGGCTGGGGCAGGAAGGAAGGGACTGGGATGACATTGTAAAATGACATGACGAAAGTTTTATAACTTTTTTTTTAAACGAAATCCCTGTGTGAACAAAACTCGTTATGTTTTCTTTAAGATTTTCTCTGCATGAATTACTGTCCCACCAAACTCATTCAATACCCAGTGCACACCCTGTGCTCTCTAGCATGTGAAGTTCAACCACCCTTACTTAATACAAAACCACATGTTACACAGGCAGGATAACATTGCAGGCCTGGAGAATCCATTAGCCTCATGTGTTGTTCCACATTAAAAAGCTGTCATTGGGCAACAGTTAAGCTGATCTACAGTGATATTCTCTGCTGTTATGTTGTCACTGTGTGTGGTGGCAGCTATTCCTTCTAAAGAGAGCATGACTAAACCTTCCCATCATTTCCTGAGATCTTTCTCACACGGCATCAGAAAAACAGAACAGAGCAACACACGGACACCATCTGCAAAACACACAAGTTTTTAAAGAGCGGCGTTTATAGCAGTTTTGCATTGCCGAATGCGGGTGCATGCAACCGCGTCTCCATTCATGTTCCTCCACTGTTCGGGTTTACTTGCCACATCTATGGTCATTTGACGTGAGTGATGTATTTTTCATTTTATTTTCCGGGATTTGTTAACCTCTGCCTTGCGTTTGAGCATGTTTGGATTCCCATATGTTTAGGTGCTTCTGTTATTTACGAAGATGAGGAAGCAGTTGAGAATATTGCAGTGTTTTTCTTACCAAGACGGTAGTTTCATGGGTGTGTAGCTGTTCTGATAGTTGAGTGGTAACACTGCTTTAAGTGTCAGGGTGTTAAAGGTCGAATGGAAAGACATATGTCAGCCCCGCGTTGGGGTTTTCATCTAGTGCTAGCTGTTAAAATGATCCCAATGGGAACTGTGTTTTGGCCTAGGGATGAGCTGTTTCACTCGGATATGTGCCTGAAATGCGACACAAACATATGGTTTAGTACGCTTTGAAATACTTTTTCTTCTCCGTTCATGTAGGGATGACATCCTTAAATACAGATTTTGCCCACTAACATCTGTTTGCGTGCTCTTTACAGGAGGACTTTAAAATAGGGTGTTTATTTAATTTATATTAAATAATCTGGTTTTATTAGTTTGTTTCAGCTGGAATGCTGGATTTGTTTCACAAGTACCAAAATGCAACTCCCAGAGTCTACAAAACTGGGAAAACTGTTAATTTAATAAAAAATAAATAAAATTGGGCTAATTAGTATTTATATTCTCTTTTTTCCACCTTTTGTTTTACCACAGGGATCAGCTGAAGCATTGACGGATACACTCCTACCTCCACTGTCTTCATCAGTGCCGCGCTTCAGATGGGAGGACATCAGTTGCTGATCCGCTTCACCCAAATGCGCTATATGCATTCCCCCCTCATGTAATATGGCTGCCTGTGGCCTTTTGCTGCACCTGAACACCCTGGAGTGGAGCTGCCTTTTACCATGGTGATCATTTTCTCAAAGACACTGGAAAAGAAGAAGGGTGTCAATGATGTAACATCCAAGAGCACCGAGAGGCGGCCGGTGAGAGAAAATATACCCTTTCAGCATGTCTGAAAAGAATCTGGTCATTAAGACTTTTTACTGAAGTCACTACCAAGGTGGTCAGATGGTATCGGTGGGCATGCCATAGTGTGGTGGCTTTATTTATAAGGTCAAAATGAAAAGAAAGCTGCTGTTTTACTTTGTTTTCCGCACTTAGATAAGATGTTCTACGACCTGATGAGATTCTCTTCTACAAATGACAACATTAGTAAAAGCTTTTTACACTTTTGAGTGTTAAAAATACATTTTACCACCCTAAAGTTTGCTTGTGTAAAAGTTATAAATATCATAATCGTTCTGCCTCAGTTTAGAGAAAGTGAGTTTATGTTTGATATGAGGAGATGATGGCTTGTCCGACCCAGCAAAACCAGCCAAACCGTCACTTTAAGCTGAAATATTAAAGTCTTTTCTACACTAAGTTTAAAAATAAAAGTACAAAGGGCCTCTTGTATATTTAGCTTCACATCACCAATGCAGATACATAAAAGTATGTGTTAATGATAAAAAAACGTTGCGGTAGTGTGGCTTGTTGGTGACATGCCACCTTAACACTTTGGTTTCACTTCTAAAATCAGAGCCGTTTACTTTCATCTTGCTGCTACGCTGACACTGTGAAGATAATGAAGCTGGTGGACTGTTTTTAGTTTAGACTTCATCTGCTTTGTTACTCCTACTAAGCAGCGAGGTGTGAGTGTACCAGCTCTGTGTGTTATTTCATTGACCTGTATCCCAGAAAACATCTCTTTTGTTGTTGCAATAACCCCAAGGTGAGTCAGGAATGCATTTTTATTTTTCTTCTCTGTACAGCCACCAGCACCACTCAGTCTTAAAGAAAACCTAAGAGAAGATAAACATCTTTGTTATAAAAACATATTTATAACTTCAGCTAATAATGGGAGATTTAGAACCAGGTGTGGTGTAAGTTTAAGGAATATGTTTTGCTATGAAAATTTTCTGCTAGTTTTATGCACCTGGAAGAAAATTAGACTGGCTTAAGCCCGGGCTTCACTGTGCATTTTTTGGCGCTTTAGCATGACATGCTAACGTCACAAGAATACTCAAATATACGCAAACATCTAGGGATGTTCCGTTCACATTTTTGGCTCCTGATCCGAGTCATATGGTTTAAAAAATCTGCCGATAAAGAGTCCTGATCCAATACTTTAGAAATGCATTAAGAAAACGGGTATAAGTAAGTACATTTTATTTATATGGCTTTCATCCGACATAGAAACACAAAGTGCTTCACATAGATTAAAATAAACAAAACATGAAGCCAGAAAATCATAATGATCTTAAAACAGAAATAGATTAAAATCTGAAAAATAAAGTCATAAAGTTAGTGGGTAACCAGTGTAGAGACATTAGAATAGGAGTGATGTGAGCTCTTCGGTTTGCTCCCGTTAGGAGCCTTACTGCATTTATGTCATTTCTTTAGTTTATCTACCATAAAACCTCACTCGTTCAGGAAGTACATTAATAAGAAATGTGTGAATTTAAAGAATATTTGTAAAAGAAGCCTTGTCGCTCATATTTCAAATTGTTTACTGGGTGTGTGACAGGGATGACATGGCACATGATGGTCAGCAGCAGGGTCTTTGCTTTCTACAAAACACCTGAAGTGATGCTGTGTCTGTAAAGTTAGAAAGAGAAAGCAGATTGAGTAGAATAGACTTTATTGTTCCCACACTTGTTGCAGCAGCAGCACATGCACTTAGAAAATTAGTCAAAAGAAAAATAATAGTACAGGTGCATGTAAATACACATAGGCAGTAAGCTATTATTGTAACCTTTGACCACTAAAAACCACAAATAAAAATTAAACGTGGGTTCCAGAACTATACAGTCATACTATGTAAATCTGGTATTACACGAGTATAGAACACATACTGAGCATTGTTTTGATGTTATTGTGTACCATGATAATGCTAGCACAACTTTAACCTAGGAGTTAGACACTCACTGCAGAGGGGATGAATGACCTATGGTAGCGTTCTGTTTTACATCTGGGGTGTCTCAGTCTGCATCAAACCTAGACTCAAGGAGACTGCAAAACCACAGACACTCATCTATTGTGATAAATATACTGCTATCTTGGCATTTTTGCTGTCCGTAGACAATTTCTTGTTTTTTTTTTGTTTTGTTTTTTTTCACGTAGTGTCGGCTGGCTTATCTAAATTGTTGCAGTGAACTGAGAAGGGTTAGTTTTTTTTCTTTTAAGGTGGTGCATCCGTTTCATAGTGTTGAACGCAGTACTACCTTTTCCACCCTAAATGCCCAGTTTGCACACATTACACGTGTCTATTGCACTCCCTTTGCTTTCCGTTTTAAAATAAATCCAAAATAGACATTTTCTTTCTGGAGGCATTACGTATGCTCTGCATTAGCTTGTTAGCTAACAGCTACATGTTATGGCATCTGAATTCCCAGATTACCTTAAACTGTGGGACTTTATGGCTGATGTAGAGGAACTTGTTGAGTTTAAAACCAAGCCATTGTTATTCCATTTGAAAATCTCTTGAACTTCAAAAGTAACGTTTGTTGTTTTATATGGTTAAATGCAATCTTTCCCACTCGATTACAACCCGTGATCGGACCAGATTTCCAATCATGTGATCGGATTGGAGCATCCCTGGAAATGTCACTAAAAGCCAATAGATACCAGACAACGATAAAGAAATGCTGACGTTAATATTTCTTTTGTTAGACTCCAAAAGAAGTGGTCCACATGGACTTGCATGTAACCTCCTGCTACTAATATTGCCACTTTCTCATTGTACTCTCATCACTAATTTTTCATGACACTTCGGGTGTATTTTCGGTGGTCAATTGCAGAAAGGATTCGTAGGTTTTCTGACACTGCTTGAAAACTGTTAGAGGTTGGATTTGGTCATGAGAGTGCTCAATCTGTCACTGGGCCGGTCAGACCTGCAAATCACCCTCCCCATCACAGTCTATGTCACAATCCTGTTCACAACAAGAGATTTGTGTAGGACGGCCAAAAAACCCACAATGTGACCCGGGCTTATGAAAATAGATCTACACAATTTTTAATATCAAAACAGCAAATTTGGAGTTTTTGTAAAAACCTTTTTCACATTTTATCAAAACTAACCCATAATTGAATGATTACCAGATATGTTTGTGTTTACTTTTTCATGTTTTGCTCTATTCCTATTGACTCTGATCTCCTCCACAGAGTGATCTCCAGATCATGAGCAGAGGGACCACCCTCTTCTCCTGTGGAACTGTGGGTAAGTTCTTCTTGCTTCCATTAAAATGTTAAATAGATTCTTTGCACAAATGTAATATCATCATATATTGCCTCTAGTGCCTTTAATAAGTTGGACCGTGAAGGTCATGACCCCAACTATAACCGTCACGCTCAGTCTCTCACTTCTCCCTTTCTCCATCTGTCCTTCATGCCCCTTTCATGATAAGGGTGCACCTGCCTCTATACAACGTTGCACAGCATTCTCATGGGAGGGAACTGTAATTGAATATGCTGTTGCCTATGTCAACAATTTTTCTTTGGCTCTTTGAGAGTTACGGTAATTACTCCCTGTGTTAAAAGACGAGCTACTGTAAATACACGCATCTTTTCTTGTAAAGGGACAAAGCAGGCAGCAGCCTAGCAGGCTTTTGCCACCATCAACTCCGTCAGCACTTTTTCTTTTTGCTTTTTATGAGGTTGGCTTTTTGAAGTTCGTCCGAGTCGCCTTTTGTCGAGCTTGTTTTTCTAACATTCCTGTCCGGTCGTCACTGTAGCCCCCGTGCATTGTTTGTCCGCCCAAAACAGAGAATTCAGTCCACGAGTCTGGGAGTAGCATGCCAAACTTTTAGAGACACAGAGGATGAGATTGAGATCAGAAAGGGGCGCCTTTTTTTACTGAGAGCCCCAGGATGTTCAAGTCCTACACATTTGGCTCAGTTTCTGACTTTGCATTATTTTCCTGTCAGCATATAATCTACAGTTGTCTGATGGACTCCTGCACTAATGATGATAGAACACATTTCTGTCAGCTGTTTCATTTGAAGCCATCTAGGCTAGCTGCTATAAGATCTTGAGATACAGTTGTGACAAACTCTTCAAAATAATAAACTTTCATCTCAAATTGTTAGTTTTTACTAAATAATTGATTATAGTCTGTTTTAAATGCTCCTTCCATGACTCTTTTAGTCTAATGAGCATCTTTATTTGTTATGAAGGTTTTATTACAGTCACACATGAGCAGCACTAGTTTAAATGGTTCGTTGATTTTCAGTATTTCTTAAACATAGTGTTGCCATTCATTTTAGGACAAATTCGAAGGGAATGAGTTACTTTTGTACTTTATTTGTTTCTGTGTTTCTTTGCAGTTAAAGTGACAACAATCAATCTTTACTTCTCCAAATGGCTTGGCCTTATAGCAGTTATCCTGTCCAATACTTCCAGTTAGCAATTCTTATTATTAGGGCGTGAAAAATAGTTCTTTCATCAACCTAATGAAACTTTTCATTGTCTTTAGAGTTTCTTATGAGTTTACACGTTGATCATTTCAGAGGCAGACAGATGGTTTGACTTGGGGCGGAGCTGTGCCATCCAACAGAAAACTCCATGTCAGTCTGATTCCAGCCTGGAGAGCCTGTGGGATGTGATGCCTGAACCTGTGAGCCAGCATTGGACCAAGGAGCCAGGCAGTGCCACCGCTATCACCAGTCTGATTAGAGATCTAACTCTTGGCAGTGGCCCGATCTGCACCCATTTGACGTCCACTTCTGCACATTACACCGCCACATCCACCAGCCAAGCTCCTACAGCTCCCCCAAGCAAACGCCAGTGCCGCTCCCTGTCGTTTTCTGATGAATTCGCCGGCTTCCGCTCATCCTGGAGGCCCCAAGGTTCTCGAGTGTGGACAGCAGTGGAGAAGCGTAGGTGTCTCAGTGGAGGAAGTGTCAAACCAGCAGGAGGTGGGCATTTTCCCACCATGCAGCGCAGCTCCAGCTTTAGCTTGCCCTCACGCTCAAGCATACATTCAGATGGAACCGTGGACCTGCCATTCTTCAACCAGCAGCTGCCTCTCCACCCTCAGTTCACTGCCTCTCCATTGTCTCCTACCTCCCCTTTCCCTCCTCATAATCACCACCAATCCCACGTCTTCCTCAGACCCCTCTCGCTTTCACACGAGCAGATTAGTCTGACAGAACTCCAGAGAGAGGAGGCATCAGAGACCAGCTCTCCAGACTCTACCCCAGAGCTGGGGAGACGAGCTGCAAAGGGAAGTGTGAAAAAAGGGCGTCTATCTCGGAGCAGGTCCCAGCCATGCGTGCTGAACGACAAAAAAACTGCTATGAAGCGCAGAAGACCAGAGGATGCCCAGGAGCAGCGTCCCTCCCTGGACTTGGCAAAGATGACTCAGGTTAGTTGAGACACACAAAGGCAAGCTCCAACTGGCTGACGTTCATTTGGATGCAACTCTTATTTGACTAGATTCAAATTGTTTACTTCTGATCGGAATTAAATGCTGCAAATGAATTAAGTTTATTGCATTTAGCCTGATACTGAAAACAAAATGCCACACAGGCCAAAGGGAAGTTCAAAGACATTCCTAAATATAACCGTCTTTGCTGTTTCCGAGTTTGACTAGACGGGATTAAATCAAGCTGAAGGAAGTTTTCTGGGTCGTCAGTCCAAGGCTTTCAGGGCTAAGAGGCCTCAGACTTCCCGCACTTCATCCCTTGGAGTGGTGCTCTCTGCTAAAGAAGCATTCCTCATGTTTGTTTATACTGCTTAGTATTACGCTCTAGCAAGCCAGGCTCTGGTTTATCATTTCCTTAGTCAACTTGTCCAAAGAGTGGACTTTACATGGTCATTTGTGGAGCTTCATTCTTTATCTTTATGCATTCTGTCTCCTGTCAGGCAGCTGAAGGAACAAAAGGTGATTAGCTGTAGGGATGTGTTGGTACACTCAGCACTGTATTACCTTCCCCGTGTCTAGAGTTTGTTTGTTCTTTTGTAAGGTCAGAGGAAGCAGGGGAACAGTCAGGGAGTATAGGTGACCCCAGGACAAACCCTTTAAAGACATGTACATGCTTGATAATCCTCTGAGGCTTTACAGAGCCTGGCCCTTTTCTTTTGTCTGATTATTTCATTTAAATTATCTGCTGTATTGGAGCCAAAGCATATTAAGGTGTTATTTAATGACTCAGAATCAAATTATTGCTCATGTCTGCCCTAACTTTGTTGCCCTGAATAACACGTTTTATAACGTGAGCTAAAATGGTCTCCCATAGGACCTCTTGTCAGGGGAATTTTTCCTTTTCCTCTTCTTTGATTAGCAAGGATCATCAGTTTATCCGTCTCCCCTCCCTTCCTTTTACAAAAGCAGTCATGTTCTCAGCCACTCACCCTCAGGACTCAGCCAAGGCTGGATCAACTAGACCTGGGTAATGGACCCTAGCAGGCATGTTTCCTGTAGCCATGCCAGATGCTAAAAGGGGGGTAGGGACTCAAGCACACTGATTACACATCTATACACACATAAATACATGAACATACACACATGGAGTCAGTTCTATCTCTGTATTTTCTCTACTGATTGCCTCAGAAATCTGTTCTGAGAGGGAGGCAGGTTTTTTTCTGCCTTGGTTTTGGAGAATGTCTGCTTGTGAAACTACAGTCTGCTTTGTTGAAACCAGTTTGGTTGCACAGGTAGGATCATTTATCTCAGGTGTGCTGCTGTAACTGTGTACTTTCTCACCATCATGCGTGCTGGCAGTGAATGATGTACCAAATTATAATTTACAACACATTTAATTAATATTGGTGCACTAAAAACATAATATGTCTGTGCAGTTTATTAGTCTATAACTAGGGCTGGGCAATAATTCAATAAAAATATGTATTGATCGATAGACATACAGGGCGATAGAAATAAAATGAGTCAATAAAAAGTTTCTTTTTCTATTATAGTCTATTGGGTAGCTTAATACTCGAGTCAATACTTACTACCAACCAATCAAAAACACAGACCCAGGCACGCTCTGTCACCAAGCCCCCCCTCTCAAACCAAGGAGCGGTGGAAGAAACTGTCCCGTAAAAAGGTTACCGTAGATCAAAAAAAAAGTTGGATAACTTGCATAGTCTTTTTAAAAATCGATTTTGGTAACATAAACAACTTGTTTTATCATAAATTAATGACATTAAATGGCCATTTCTGCACTTAAAATATGTTTTCTACATTTTTTTTATATTTATCAGTAATTATTTATCAATAAATATGAATGTTTTTTTTTAAATCTATATGCTTTTTATCTATATCGTCCAGCCCTATCTGTAATGACTAGTTTAGAGCTAGAGTGTTTGGTTTTATTTTGGATATTAAACAAAGTTATAATTTCTCACTTAAACGTAATCCTCAAAAGTCCTGGAAGCAGTTGTTGAATGATTAATCTTATCTGTTCTGTGTCTGTTTTCGTAGCAGTGTAAGAAGTTTAAAAAGTACTCGTTTTTCTGCAGCAAATGCTTGCCACTGATTGGTTTATTTGTCTTTAAATCACAAATTTATAGTTTTCACGCCTGTTTGTTTTTAAACACATATTTGATGCATCAGTTGTTGCTATCCTTATAGTAATAAAACATATCAGTCAAAACCATCGACATAAATATACTGGACAATTCATTTCCATAGACTCCAATAACACGTTTTTGAGGCCAAATGGGAGGTGGCCACCACCGCCATTTTGACCGTGTCACAGGTTCCGTCAAGCCCAGACAATTCCACAAAAGGGAAGAGAGGAGGAGCTGAGGGTGGGGCTGTAAGGCTGGGATCAGCTGACGACATCCGGTCGAACTAGCTACAAGCTAAACCAAAGCTAATGCGGAAGTGGGAGCTAAGCTAACGGAGGTAGCAACCTAGCTACAACTGGAGTTAACTGTGCACAACACCAGAGCTTCTGAGTCAGAGATACGCCGGGCTGACCGCTGGGTAAAACCGGGTGGAACACAGAGGTCTCCGAGACCTCCACAAGCCGGCAGCCGCACAGCAGACAAGCGCTGCTGCGATCTGAGATGCAGAGCTGCCACTGGGGAGAACTGGGTGGAAAGGTTTCCATCCCAGAACTCCACAAGCCAGCAGCCCGCGCAGCAGACAGAAGCCGTGATCAGACAGAGATGCGCCAAGCTGCGGGGAGGGGAGAACCGGGTGGAAAACATCGGTCTCCCGAGAGCTCCACAAGCCGATAGTCGGAACCCAGCTCCACCAACATGTTATATTTCAACCCATTTTCTAAAGTGCAGCATTATGTTAAATGCACTGGGTTTTACCCTATTACATTTAAATTGCATGGTTAAACAGTACATGTTAAAATCTAAGCTCAGCTCGGCAGTGACCTAAAATACATAAATATAATTTTACTTACCGAAAAAAATGAAGTGGAGACTCCTTGGACGCTCTATTAGTGCAATTAATGCCACAGCAAGTCATTTTGTCCAACAATTGCACAAAAAATATCCAAAAAAGAATACACAAACACAGAGACTCAAAATCCCGGAGCAGTTTCCAAGCCAGACCGAGGCTCTACTGAGGCCTTTCCACGGAGCTAGCTCTGTGGTCACGTGGGTCGGATGCTCATTAATTATACAGAATTTTAGGCTTTTAATACACTTAAACAGAAGAGTGAGAAAAAAATTCACCCCCCTCAGAGTTGTCATGAGTGTAAACTAGATCATTTAAACAAAAAAGATGTTTTGGTACCAGGCTGTAAACATGTTTATTTCTGCTGTGAAATTGGTATTTTTAACATGGGAGTCAATGAGGATTTGCTCGCTTCTGACACCAGCCCCCAGCGGATGAGGGTGGAACTGCATTTTTGGTACTTCCGGGTTGGCCTCAATGTTTGAGCCGCATTGTGGGGGCTTGGTCAAAACCAACAGGGATTCTCACCTGAAGCATTTGTCCATTGTTGATGCCCCCACAAAGCCAACTGCAAATGGATTTATTTCCAGTCAGACCGTACGCTGATTTGGTACAACTAACACAAATGGTAGAAATACATGTTTACATTTGTTTAGGGTTGGTTTCAGTGAGAATGAAAGTTTAAATAAACTTTGAAATGCCAACTGTTCGTGTCCGTTCGTCACAGGGACGTTCGTGAAAAGGGTGTGTCAAATCAAACTGTCAATCTGAAATAGTACCCGCTTCCTTGTTCCAGGCCGTTGATAAATGGGGTTTACATCATTGTCCTTGTGTTTTGTAGTTGAGTGGATGAATACAGGAAGTGGAACACAAAACCTAAATGCAAATGTACTGGAAGGATCAGAATCTTGTTTGACTTTATTTTAGATGCGTTTGTGGTTCTGGAGTTGAATGATTGTGAGGGATCAAGTCTCTGGCATGTTTTGTCAGTGGAACACGGTGTAATTTGGTCTTTATAGATTCCTTTGCCACGTCAGTGAAGGCAGGTGTGAATTCTGGGGATGCATGCAATACTAATTGGCTATAACTTGAGTACTGCAGGGATTTACGTGCTGCCACCCCTAAAATTCCATGAATATCCTCCTTGTCGGCAGAGCATGCTCACTCCTCAATCCACTGTCTTGTTTTTATCCCTGGCTGCCCTTCCACGTTGGCGTGGTGATGTTTTTCCACACTGTGTGTGTGTGTGTGTGTGTGTGTGTGTGTGTGTGTGTGTGTGTGTGTGTGTGTGTGTGTGTGTGTGTGTGTGTGTGTGTGTGTGTGTGTGTGTGTGTGAGTGTGTGTGTGTGTGTGTGTGTGTGTGTGTGTGTGTGTTGCTGAAGGACTGTTCATGTGGCGTACCTTTTCAGGAAACCGCTTGTGTGAGGTCAGTCTGGTCACTCGATAACAAGAGTCAGGTATACGTCTAACAAATAAGGGCAATCTTCACTGGGTCGGCAGTTAAAGAGTGGTAAAAAGAGGGCGTGTTGAGCAAACCGAAGGTGTAGATGTGCAAATGCTTGTATGCTCTCACGGGAAAAAAAGTCAGAAAAACTAAAAGTTTTACTTTAGCAGAGAAGCTGGCAATCAAACTTCTCTTGCCTCCATTTATATCAGCCTGCGGGCCCATGTTTGGGCTGCCCCCCTCCACTTCATTTCTTGGATAGCAGACATGTTTATCATAGCTGAGTGTGAAGCCCTGAAGGCTCGTAACAACATCTAGCTGGGAGTCTTAAGGTGCATCTTCTTTATGTGTATTTCAACATGCTTTGACTAGCCGTGTACATATGTGCATACATGTGCACTGTACACGGCTGTACAAAAGCTTTAGAAGCACAAAACAAGATTTTTGAACTATTTTTCAAACTGAGTAACGAGTTGTATAGCTGAACATGCACACTTTCTCAAGTTTTTCAATTAGTTGTGCTCTTTATGTTTTTGTTGTCTTCTTCTGTTTAACTTTCATTAGTGTTTTGGTGCATCTCAGGTATGCCTGGATGATACGGCACAAAAACTTGATCACAATAAATGTTTTCATATCATACATTCTTGATCTTAATCACATTTTTTCTAAAGTGCCAGTTTGAAGCAGCTCTAAATTAAAGAAATATACTAGATGTTGGTTAAACCTTGTACAGGTGCTGGCCAGTAAATTAGAATATCATCAAAAGGTTGAAAATATTTCAGTAATTCCATTCAAAACGTGAAACTTGTACATTATATTCATGCAATGCACACAGACCAATGTATTTCCAATGTTTATTACGTTTAATTTTGATATTTATAGGTGACAACCAATGAAAACATCAAATCTGGTATCTCAGAAAATTAGAATATTCTAAAGGCCAATGAAAAAATGTTTGTTTCTCTAATGTTGGCCAACTGAAAAGAATGAACATGAAAAGAATGTGCATGTATAGCACTCAATACTTAGTCGGGGCTCCTTTTGCCTCAATAACTGCAGTAATGCGGCGTGGCATGGACTCGATCAGTCTGTGGCACTGCTCAGGTGTTATGAGAGCCCAGGTTGCTCTGATAGTCGTCTTCAGCTCCTCTGCATTGTTGGGTCTAGCGTATTGCATCCTCCGCTTCACAATACCCCATAGATTTTCTATGGGGTTAAGGTCAGGCGAGTTTGCTGGCCAATCAAGGACAGGGATACCATGGTCCTTGAACCAGGTGCTGGTGGTTTTGGCACTGTGTGCAGGTGCCAAGTCCTGTTGAAAGGTGAAGTCTGCATCCCCATAAAGTTGGTCAGCAGCAGGAAGCATGAAGTGCTCTAAAACTTCCTGGTAGACGGCTGCATTGACCCTGGACCTCAGGAAACAGAGTGGGTCAACACCGGCAGATGACATGGCACCCCACACCATCACTGACGGTGGAAACTTTACACTGGACCTCATGCAACGTGGATTCTGTGCTTCTCCGCTCTTCCTCCAGACTCTGGGTCCTTGATTTCCAAAGGAAATGCAGAACTTGCTTTCATCAGAAAACATAACTTTGGACCACTCAGCATCAGTCCAGTCCTTTTTGTCCTTGGCCCAGGCGAGACGCTTCTTGCGCTGTTTCTTGTTCAAGAGTGGCTTGACACACGGAATGCGACACCTGAATCCCATGTCTTTCATGAGTCTCCTCGTGGTGGTTCTTGAAGTGCTGACTCCAGCTGCAGTCCACTCTTTGTGGATCTCCCCCACATTTTTGAATGGGTTTGTCGTCACAATTCTCTGCAGGGTGCGGTTATCCCTAGAGCTTGTACACTTTTTTCTACCACATTTTTTCCGTCCCTTCGCCTGTCTGTTAATGTGCTTGGACACAGAGCTCTGCGAACAGCCAGCTTCTTTAGCAATCACCTTTTGTGTCTTGCCCTCCTTGTGCAAGGTGTCAATGATTGTCTTTTGGACAGCTGTTAAGTCAGAAGTCTTCCCCATGATTGTGGTGCCTTCAAAACAAGACTGAGGGACCTTTTAAAGGCCTTTGCAGGTGTTTTGAGTAAATCAGCTGATTAGAGTGGCAGCAGGTGTCTTCTATATTCAGCCTTTTCAGAATATTCTAATTTTTTGAGATACCAAATTTGGAGTTTTCATTAGTTGTCACTTATGAATATCAAATTTAAATGTAATGAACATTGGAAATACATTGGTCTGTGTGCATTGCATGAATATAATGTACAAGTTTCACGTTTTGAATGGAATTACTGAAATATTTTCAACCTTTTGATGATATTCTAATTTACTGGCCAGCACCTGTATTAACATTCTGAGTCTTTAAGCAACATACAGTTTTAAAATAAATTGTCCCCCCTCTGGGATAACACAATATATCATGTTTACATCAAACATAAGATAATCTTTACATTTCACTTTATTTGTAAAGCCCCTTTAGCTACCTTATCGGATGCCCATGGTGCTGGGAAATACAGCAGGCAACGGGTACAAATAATAGTGTAAAACAGCCGTAAGGGCATAAAACTTTATAATGAAAAAGGCCACATTACATACAAGGGAATGATGCCACGCTGTGACATCTACTGTTGGAATGCCTTGACATAAACATGTGTCTTCAAACGGGGCCTAAAAGCTAGCAGAGAAGTTGACTGGCGCACAGTTAAAGGAAACTCAATGCCCCGGGGCCTACACCGAGAACGCACAACCCCCCGGTGACTTTTACTTTCAAGGCTTGAAATGTAAACATGATCTGTGATGCTACATGTGACAAACATATATGTTGTTCATGCCCTAGCCACTACCAATCGTTCTTTATCTCAAAAAACACCAACAGGCATCTATGGAAACTGATCAAATTAAAAGTTTTAGTCCGTCAAAGTTCCCTGTAAAGGAGACGCTTTATGACCAGAAGAATCACCCGTCTTTTACGGTGCTCTTTGCTTTGTGGGTGGGATTTCTGCTATATTTTTAGGTGTTGGGAGTTCAAAAACAACTATTTTAAAGCGGCTGGAAAACTGCTTTATTTATTTTCCTTCCATTTCACTTCACCTTTTGATTAACTCATGCCGGTTGTTTGGCAACAACCTATCAGTATAAGCAAAACATATGTTCCGCTTAGCAACCTTACCTGGTCATTCCAAGAACATAACCCTGATCAGGTACTCAGTAGATTCCTGAAATGGTCCGGAAAATGGTTAATTTGAGCCAGCTTTGTGAAATGGAGACATGCTACCTGGTAAAATTAACCCGACGTTCCGATAGTGGATCTTGTCATTTGCAGTAGTGGAGCAGGAAAAGTGAAATGTGACTGAGTTATTCATGTCGATGGTTGTCCTGCACACTTCTTCTACTTCTCATTTTAATGGCGGCGGGCAACCAATGTGCAAGGAGCATTAGCACCTCCTACAGGTACAGCACATTACCATAATGTTTGAAAAAGGCTTTTTGAGAATGAATGCATGACTCCCAGGAGGTATGATGATTGTGCTGTGACCAAAGTTGATTCATTTACAACAGTTCTTCTCATTTTCTGGTGTTTGCTGTACGTTAAATGCATTAGAAATCCAATGATGGAACTATACCTAAGCAAATCCTTGAGATTGTAGTTTGTTCTGCTCTGTAAGTAAGTCGGGAACAGAGTTCTTTTGCTGAACATATCTACATTTCCTGAAAAGATCAGTTGAAAACTTTATTTCTAGTGATGCCCGAGAGTCCATGTGTGAGGTAGCAGTGATGTGTTCGCGTGCATTGATGTATTTCATTTGAAAGCTGAAAACCTTGCAGAAATCCAACCCTGCTGTCCCCCTTCCTCCCAGACTACCAGCACACCCTCCACAAAGCCCCGTCTGCCTCGGTAGTTTTTATAGAAAGCATATTGTGTGTGGAGGCTGCCCCTTTCCCTCTTTTCTTTGCTTTCGTCCCCTCCCACTCTGTGATAATTAGTAGTGGGGCAATACTCGGGGTTGAACAGTATTGGGAGCTCAGAAATCCCCTTTTCCACTCCAGTGGTGTAACTACAGCGAAAACCTCCCACTCTTCACATGATCACCTTAAGCATTTGCAGATGAGGCGTCATAAAATATATTTAGCAGAAAGAAGTAAAGCTTCAAACCCAGACAGCAAAACTCCTACGTTGCAATTTTCTCTTTCATCCTGCAGAAGGAGGGGGAGGGAAGCTACACTCCTAACAGCAGATTCCATGTCCTAACACATGCTCGACAACATTACAGGTGTCTGTCATCTAAGCCAAAGCTTTCAGGAGAAAAACCTCATCTCTATTCACCTCCATGCCTCCAACATCTGCTGCTGGGGGCACTCCAGAGATCATTAACCCCTTCACTGCACGCCACGACTGCCTTTCTTTTGTTGCTGAGCGGATGCAAAGGTGAAAGGAGAGCATGAAAGCAGACGGCTTTCTTTATTTGGATCTGTTTAAGGTCAAGTTTAGGGTGGAAGAATGCAGCCTATTGTTTACTTGCATGCTACCTGACTCTCCCTGAAGTGTACGAATAGAAGATAAACGTCACAGCCTCTCTGAACAACCGCGGCTTAAATAAGACCAGGGGTTTGTGTTTTAGGCTGGCTTCTAGTCGTGAATAAAACCAGACCACACTCTGACAACAGGTACCTTTATGCGGTTGGCAGCTTTTCCCAACATGTTTTCATGGTTTAGAGCTCTGTGTATGATCTTAAGTGGCTCCTGTGTGTGCTTGTGTTTACATGTTCGAATGCAGGCGATGAGAGGGAATGCCGGCGTTGGGTCGTCCAAACAGAAACCCAATCCTATTCTAACTTTCTGGGAAAACCTGACCTCAGATTTGCCCAGTCAAACTTTGGGTTTGACTTGAGGTGCACAAAAACATTCATTTTATTTTTTCTCTTGTTTCCTTCATCCAGAAACTTCAGACCTTCCAAAGCTTAAGCTGCCCTGGATTCTCAGCCTGCGACGGCTTCCAGTCGAGCCTGCCCTCCTTTGAGTTTTCCGGCCAGTCAGAGACGGCCTTCACGGCTGTGTCCGAGCTGGGCCTGGAGTCGCGAGAGATGGTAGACGACGACGAAGAGGATTCTTCCTATGAAGAGGTGGATAGTGATTCCGCCTGCAGCGTGGACTCGCCACCGGGATCTCCTGCGGGCATTCTGGACAGTAAACGCACCCTCTGGAAGGGAGATTGTGGAACACATAAGGACATTTTCCAGCTTGGAGGAGAGCTGGACCTCGACCAGATTGAAAGAAACTGAACACTTTTTGGAAGATTTTAAGTCTGTGAGATCTGTCAGAGAAAATCACAAAAGATGACCATGTGCTGCAAGAAACTCGATGGTTGGTTTTGAAAGGGAAAGATGTTGAAAAGACTGAGAAAACATGTTGCTAAAGGTTGGTTTCCTAATGACACAAATGCCTTGAACGTTCTTTCTGCTTAATTGAAAAAGGAGTGTTCTTTGTTTTTGAATTTACTGAACTCAGGAGTGGGAAATTGAGGATTTGTCTTAAAGAAATCTTCCTGATTCTCACTGTGTCTTTCTAACCTTGTGAACTTTCCAACGTTAGCTCATCTTAGGTTTGTAGTACTGTACCAGTAGCTGGGCTCTCCCTTATTCAGCTCCAATGTTCTTAAAAAAGTAATTAGAAGTTGGGGTTAAAAAAGTGTATTCTCAGAGTTTGGCTTAGTCTTTCCTGTTATTTTTTTATTTTTGCACACGTGTAAACCTTTTTGTTTGAATGTAGGCTCAATAAGCTTTAACAAGTGTTCAAAATATGAAAAGTGCCTTCTTTTGGATGCTTTTTCTTGTAGTTATCTTCAGGAAACCTGCTCACTGAAAGCCACTGTCTCTGACATTCATATGCAACGTGTACATTTGAATCAAACACTGAATCTCTGCGGAGTTCAAACAGCCGTGTGTGTATTTTTCTACGAACGTTATGCTCTGTTTGTGAAGGAGCGAGGTTGCGTGGCCTTTCTTTTAACAGAATGGAAATAAATTCACATCCGCACTTACATGTCTGGTTTCTTTTTGATAAAGAAGACTGTGAAAGGCTGATTCTATTCTGAAAGTTTGACTTCGCAACAAAGTACCCAGCTTAAGAAGCTGCACCCACTCCCCCACAATCACTTCCTGCACAACACAGCAGATTAATTTGGGACCTACTCTTTTTTTTTTCTTCCAACAACACATTTGATGAAATTTTTTTGCGGTTAATATAATGTTCTTTTTTTCTTTGCATGAAACCTTTTAAATGCACTTTTCTGCAGATTGTTAGGTTTGGTCTCATGTTTGTGAGTCTGAAGGACTAACTTTACTGATAGTGGTGCAACAGATGGATGTCTCATCCACCAGTCAGACAGAACAGGTGGTGGTGGAAGAGCTTCATGACCTTTATCCCATAGGCTCCTGTTTGAGTGCTCTGTGTGAGTTTTTAAGGAGATCTTTTTCATTTCTTGGAGATGCCAGATGAGACTATTGTGGTTTAGCTTAAAATGCAAACTTCAAACTGTCATGAGTTTAATTTAAAGCTACATTACCCATACATCCTGGCTAGTAATCCAGCATTTTAGTGGGTGTGCAAACATTGATGCTGTTTTTAGCCTAGTTTTAAAAAGAAATAAGATCATGTGGAGATAAATGGGCATGTTTTATCATTTTACCCATGAACGGAGGAAATGGACCAGTAATGTCCCTGCTGCGTTTGTTTTACTGGGATACGAACCAGCTCCTCTTTGACCCTAAGCAGAATTGCAAAGAACAAAGGGCAACAGTTGGGAAAAAATCCTCCCCTTTTTACTGGAAAAAACTTTCAGCAGAACCAGGCTCTGAAAAGGCATCCTGCCATGACCAACTAGGGTCCGAGAGGACACAAAAGGGGTTGGGACAGTCCTCTTGAAAAATAACCAGGCCACAAAGACAATGACAGCAATAACTGTTAACATAGAGATGCAAGAAATTAAAATCAGCTTAGTGGGGAAATGTATGTCTAAACATATAGCAGCGTAACTAAAGGGATGAGCCAGGATAGCCCAAGTTAACCCCAACTATAATACTTATCAGAAATGTATCTTATTGTGGAACAATGAAAACCCATTTTTTAAATCTTATTTCTGGTTATAACCGGTCACTTTGAGTTTTTCATGCAGGCTGAACATGAAAATAGTCTCCTACAGCTATCTCCTGCGTTAGCTTCTGATAGAAAATAGACGGTGAAATTCTAGGATTTGAAAAGCCTGACGGATCTACGTTACACTGTCACTTAACATTCATGGACTCACCCATCTTGAATCACGACAGGGAAAGCTGTTGTTGGTTTAGCGTCCAGGAAACAGCAGAAAACTTCTCAGCTAATAGAAGCAAACTATTAGCATTAGTAACTGCACCACAGCTGAACTACTCCAGGCTTGTGTTATTTGTGGAGATAAAACATTAGTGATGGAAGAATGACTTACAAGGCATAAATTCCTACTAGAGACCACTGCATTGATTAAAAGAGCGCTCCACACCTTTAGAAGTAGACAGGGTGTTTGCCTCATTTGGTTCCACAAGAGGAGCCTGAGAACTGAAATCTCTGCCTTCCATTTTACTTTTAGAAACTCAAACAACCACAAATATACATGCGGTCTTTAGAGTGAAGTGAACCAGTGTATTATTAGTTCTTTCCATCTTTAACTGACATGAAGGTCACATTTTTCTCACTTTCATCAGAGTTCGGCTCAGATTCAAAGTATCAAATTGAAAAAGCATACAGGACAGTTTGATAAAGCAGTGAAAGTGTAAAGGAGTTGGTATTTATTAGTTTGAAACTAAAGGTGGAGTTTCTGACCTCTTCATAACCCATCAGAACTCTGGCAGCAACATTTTGGATCATCTCAATAATAAAGAATTATAATAGTTTAGCCTCAAAGTAATAATTGCATAGACCAGCATTCTGCATCACTTTGGGTCAGAGTGTTTCAAATGTTTTAGCAATTATGAACAGATGGAGGAAGAAAGTCCTAAAATAATTTGACTGATAATTCAATGCTCTGAATGTCCATTGGTTTTGGTTCTGGATTGAAGGCGCCATGTAAAAAGTACCAATGCATTATGGTAATGATATAGAATTTTATCACTGCACTGGATCAGTTTACTTCTTTAAAGGTGTGATTCACTTGTTTATACAATATATTTGCAGTGGTCTCTCGCAGCAAGGAATGCCTTGTAAGTCATATTCTGGGGAAACAAAGCTCTGGTGCTCCAGTTTCTTGAACTAGACATGGGCCACATCACAGCTGAGCTTCTGACGACAGGATTTGGAGTTTGATTTCCTGATATTTGGATGTTTTGCTTAGGATTGGCTAACAGCAATGCAACTCTACCACTAACTACTTCCTCTGCAATGTTGATATTTTGTTTCCACAAATAACACAAACCTGAAGGAGTTCTGCTTTGTGGTGAAGTCGCTAATGCTAATGGTTAGCTTTTACTAGCCGAGACGTGCTTTGCTGTTACCTAAACGCTAAACCAATAACAGCTTTCCCCATCGTGAGTCAAGAAGGGTGAGTCCATCTGGATCTCTGGGACTTGGAGCTCCTTCCATCTCCTACACGTCTTTGGGGGGCAGATCTATGGACCCTCACACTTTCTATTGGATTCTCCTATAGAGAAACCTTATACAAGCGCGTGTACACACACAGGTGCCCACACAGTGCTCTCTAAGTATGGACTTGGGCATTTTCAACACATGTCTTAAGGCTGTGGTTGGCACTAAATGCACTGATTTATTATTGTGAGATTGTTCAGCAAAACAATGTTGATTTTATATTTCTTCATTAGGTTGATGCAGTGATAGCTTGCTCTTGCTGTTTTGTTGTGTCCCTTTTTTGTTTGTTTTTATCTTTCTGAAGTTCTAGAAGCAGACTCTTGTTTATGACTGATTGTTTATTTTTGTGGAACCCCTCCCCCTTCTTCCTTTTGTCTCTTCCCGTCTCTTTCACCTCTGTCTCCATGTCTGGTTGGAATTGAAAAGCATCCAAAAACACTGGAAAATATAAAAAAAAAGAAAAAAAAAGATGGGTGAGTCCATGAATGTGATGTAGATCTGTCAGGATTTTCAAATCCTAGAGTTTCACTGTCTTTTCTCAATCAGAAGCTAATGCAGACGATAGGTGTAGGAGACTATTTTCATGTTCAGCTTACATGAAAAACTCACAGTGACTGATTATAATCAGAAAGAAGATGTAAAAAGGGGTTTCCAGTGTTCCACATCTTTAATGTTGCAGTGTCCTAACACAAGGGAAAACAGGAATTTCCAGAAGAAAAACAACTTATTGCTCACAATGTAAACAAAATGTTGGAGTTGTCAGGATCATAAAAAATCTGAATGCATTTATTAAAAACAGTAACTCCAGTGACTGGATGGGACTGATACTGAAACACTGGTAACATCTGGGGTTTGCCCACAAGTCCCAAATAAACGCCAGGAAGTGTAGACTGGGAATATTCCTGGCTGCTAACCCTGCAGTGACCAGAGGAGGTGACGTCAAGAGAAAACATCTCAGAAGCTCCAACGCAGGCAGGCAGACAGACAGAAAGGGCAAGGCTGTTCCTGTGTGGGATTTCCTCTTGTGTGTGATGTCTGTCCAATGCACCTGCCATCTTTGAAATACTCACCCCTGTCGATGTCTATCGCCTAAATGCAGAAGAGGTTTCTGTCATCAACGTTATTGGTCACCAGGGATGCAAAGTGATAGAACCAAACGTTTGTTACTAGATTTTTCCAAACACAAGGAGCAAAACTCTGGCATGCTAAATACATTATGTTCAAAACAGGATGTTGCAGCCACTTACAGCTTTTCCTTTAATGGTGGCCTGAAAGGAACAACATTTCATTGCTCGGCTATTGGTTTAAACAAACACGCATAGCATGGACTCTCAGTGGAAGACCCTGAAACAGATGCCCAGTGTGATCTGCTTGAGTGTGCAGAACACCTCTCACCTGGACTTTGGTGTTATTCCTAGCTGGGGGGGGGGGGGGATTTTCCAAGAGACATCAGGCATTGATTCATTCTTTTCCTCTTAAACTTGACAGGAAAAAGCTGTATACACAGCATGCTGTTGCTATAAACAGGTGACTTTTTTTGGTGTGTTACTCGTTAGTAACCCCTACATACACACTTATGCACACGCACACACACATTTCCTCTCTTGCAGGAAGCAGAAGGCAAAACCGAGGAGAGGATTAATATCTGAGGTAAATTTTCTATAAATAGGGAGTATTGTAGTTGTAGTTGGCAGAGGCAGATGGAGAGAAGGAGACAGGAAAGACCACGTTGGACAAATTTACTGCTCAACCTCGATTTCGTGTGAGAAAACATTGGCTGCATTTTAAGCATAAAGCTGTTTTAATTGGAGCAGAAAAGATCGAATCCTGCTGTTTCAGAAGATTTAGTAATATCAGTTTGTATTGGTCATATATGGTATATTTATGATATAATCTAGTGTTAATTCCTATATACATCTTACATTTGATAATGTTTCTTTTAGCCTTTTTGAAACTGCATACATTTGTGTGAGTAATGCAGCCATCTTCAATAGCCTGGCCTGCCAGACTCCTCCTCTGGTTAAGTCTGCACAGAGAAAGTCTGCTAGCTCACAGGCAGAGAGGCACAAGAGGGGCGGGACTAGGCAGCTGAAAAACGACCAATCAGAAAAAAGACGGAAATGCCCACCGTACCACGCAACGCTGTAGTTTTTTAGCTGTAGTAAAAAAAGCCGCCTGGCAACGGCGCAAACATCTTTTATTTTTTAGAAGAAATGCTTTTAGAGCTTCTACTTGTGGTTTTAAAGACATTCAAGTCATTTAGAACAGAGGAAAGATCCGCAGCAAACTCCGCCGCCGTCTTTGTTGTTTGTGAGAAATTGAGCGTTGCTGTGTTTGACGTCGTAGTTTTTTAGCTGTAGTCAAAAATGGCGTCTGGCGACAGCTCAAACATGTTTCTTTACAAGAAAGGCTTTTAGCGCTTCTACT